AACTTGAAAATACTCTCCAGATGCGCTGTTCTAAACTTGTATATATTTATACCCATTACAAACACTTCTTTACAATTAAAATATTAGGAACAATATTTTGACAAGAACAAATATTTCGTAAATAATTTTTAGGAATAATGAGTTTAGTAATCGGAATAGTGGTTTTATCCAAAACAAATAGCAATGAAAAAAAGAAACATTGCGAATGGCGCGGGGGCTTACGTGGCGCTCTCTAGCGGCGAGGATGAGAAGCGCTTTCCGGAAGCGGCGACGGTGGCGCGCCGTGTAGCGCGGGGCGCGAAGTCCGGAAGAGGTGGAGGATTCACAAAGAGCCTCCTTCCGCTTCCGGAAGTGGCGTGTGCGCTCGTGTGAGTTTCCTTCGCGCTCACGCCCGGCATTAAGCGCAAAGGCGCTGGCAAATAAGCAAAGCTGCTGTAACGCGACAAGGTGTTTGAAATTGAATTGTATAGTCGTTCTTATTTCAACCGGAGGGATGTTTCGCTGTATTTGGAATACATACGAGAAAAAAATGACTGCTTAAAATCTAGAAATAGGAAGCACAAGAAAGTACATAGCTGGAACAGACTGCTAGTCTGATAGTTGATAAAGAGAGAGAAGAAAAAATATCCTATCAATGCCAGGCGAATGCCGCAACGTTACTTATCAAATGTATCAGACCACGCGTGATCTTTCCTTCCTCATGCGTGTTCCTTTCCCCTTTCACAAACATACGTATACTTTCATTGCACTACCCTACCACACAGACGGGAGCTTAGAGCTTGTCTCAGCTGGGGACGGTGTTTCACTGGTGGAGATATCTGGAGGAGGGATTTTCCGCAAAACAACGTGTAGAATGACGTCGTATCTCACGCTGTTATGAGAGCCACTTCCTGGAATGCACTATACTTACAGGGTTCATGTCATAGCTGTTGGCGTGCCTGAAAACACAATGTAATAAATGAAGAAGACAAGAAAAACTTCAAACAATAAGGCAATGACGAAGAAGATTAAGAAGAAAAGGGGAAAAAAGTTATTTAATTTTTCTACGCCTGCGTGTCGATATATTTCTTGAAAGGGAAAACCGAGTAAGGCTTTAGGGCTGAGGGTCCTGCCGCTGTCGCCGCACGTGCCTCGAGGTCCTTCCAAATCGGCGTCCGATCCGCCGCCGCCGATCGAATGTATTCATCGCCTCTCGGTCGCCGGAGGGACGGACCTTCCCTTCCCCTCCCGTTTCTTCACTGGGCAACTACCTCCCTTCCCGGAACAACGTCTCCCCGGGGAACGCCGCGCGGAGTCTGGCTCCAGCGAGGCGAGCGAAGCGCTGGGCTGGGCGGGCGGACAGGACGTTGACGAAACGAGCGGAGTGGGAGATTGCGAGACTGGGCGGAGAGAGTAGGGCGGGGCGGCAAGGCGACGGCACCGGTGCGGGACGGAGCGGACGGGGTGGGACGGACGGGGCGAGACGGCGGGTCGGGCGGGAGAGAGTAGGGCGGGGCGGGCGGGCGAGGCGAGGCGAGCGACGGCGAGGCGGGGTGAGGCGAGGCGAGGTGAGGTGAGGCAGGGCGCGGCGGGCGAGCGCGGGCGGGCGGGCTGAGCGGGCGGGCGAGCGAGCGGGGCTGGGCAGGGCGGGACGGATGGGGTTTGACGGGGGGACGAGACGATACGGGGCGGGACCGTGGTGGACGGGACGGGCGGGGCGGAACGAACGGGAGGGAGGGAGGTGAAGGGGACGGACGAAAGTGGAGCCGTGTCAGAGGAGGGGATGCTGTGGGGAATGGAGAAGTCATCGAGGCGAATTGTGTACGCAGGCAGGACGACTGTGGATGCGACCGCAGTAGCCAGAGGGGAGGCAGTTTTTTATGTTGGCGTGTTTAGAGATGAGTGGGGGAGCCGGTCTAGTAACGATAATGCTCAGCCAATCTGACCCACATTGGCTTGTAACGAGATGTAGTAGATTATGTTAGCATCCAATGTTACCGTTTTGTTTTGGAAATCATGGTATAATGTTACCACTGAATCTAATGACAATGCATACTTACTGTGCTTAATTAATTAACTGGTAAATGCTATTATGACAGAGTAAACTGAGAAAACTTTCATAATCAGCCCCGCGAAGAGATTTTAAACCTGGCGTCCTATAGAGGAAAAAAACTGCACTATCCACTTTGCTAAAATCCTCACAGATGTAGGTAGATAATGCCGCCTGTCAATTAGAAACGACAGAAAAATTGATAAAGCAAAATCTGTGGGACGAGAAGGAGGAAGGCAATGGAATTAAGTTGAAGGAATAATAAACCCGGAGAAAGTCTGATAACACTGTATTGAAATTGCCGTCCATGCCAGAAGGAAAAATTAAGAATATTACAGAAACGAAAATTGAAAAATCTCTCAAACTACCATCGTAATAGTTAACTATTGGGAGTCAAAATGCGAGGTATTGAGTTGAATGGAAATATTTTAATGAAAATTCTCACATCGTGAAGAAAGTAATATAGCGGTTTTCACCTGATTATCATTGATAATAGATGAAACTGTCAGTTAAAGTAATGGGAATTTTGATGATTACAATAAACTCTAGAAAAAATATTCAAGAAAAATATATGATGCTTAAAGCTCTGACAGATATTTCTCCATTACACACTTCATTAGTGATGAAAGTACTAATATATGTAATATACTAAAATCCGGAAACGTATCGTGTGATAAATCCCTACTGAATATGGGTAAACTGTATATTATTAGAGAGCCTTTTGATGCTTATTTTCAAATAAAAACATAGAAAAAGTCTTCTTAGCTCATCGTATTTATCACTTATTTTCTCTTAGAGTCCTAGATTTTTCTTTTTTTGTATATTCACATGAACTCCGATTGGAGAAATTAAAAAAAACAATAAAATAAACACCCCACACGTAAACAGTAATATATAAAAGCAGACACATAATTAAAAAACAGTATTGCTAACCCTAACAGTGCTTAGTAATTCTAAGAAACTAAATTGTAAAACAAGATAAGAATATTATTTTTATTATTATTATTAATAATATTATTGTTATTATTATTATTGATGTTGTTGTTACTGTTGTTCTTCCAAATCAAGACTAATATTTGTATGAGTCAGTTGAATATGAAATATATTCCGGGTTGCAACGAGTCGGTGCCACTAGAACGCTTAGCACAAAATGTCAGCTGGGAATTTAGCCAACTTCTTATACAAATTTTGCGTAACCAATCCCAGAGATCTGACGACTACCGGGACGACATGTGCTTTTTCGCCCTACATTCGGCAGATCTCGATTTCCAAACTCGTGGTTTTATGACGTTTCTCTTCTTCTTTGATTATGACGTTTTCATCCCAGGGCACATCCACATCTATAAGTAGACACGTTCTTTTCTCCAAATCCCCGATAACAATTTACCGTTTTTTCCTGCTATCGTGCGATCAGTTGGAATTTTTGGTCGTACAATATTGTACACAGTCAAACAGACGTCACCGGTTTGGATACTTGTCCATACCCCTTGGAGGATGTGTTTGAAAGTTTTAGGACGTTACAGCTCTGCCAGTGGAGGTAACTGCACACCCTATCTTGTCTTTTAAAATGTTCGGTCTTTGCTAGAATTGGGCAAACTGAGACGATATTATAAATGGTTTCTACTCGTTCTTGGCAAGTGTGGCTTTTTCATCTTGGAAAAATTTGATATCAACTTGCTCATAATGTCGTGTTCTCATCGTCTAATCTAGGGCAGCTATTAAAATTGCTTCCGAATCTGTCTGTATCCTTCCCCTTTTAAGCCACACAAATTGTTGGCTTCTTTTTGATCGGAAGTTTGTGAATTCTTTTTACGTATTTTTCATATTATTATTATTATTATTATTATTATTATTATTATTATTATTATTATTATTATTATTATTATTTGATACAACATTAGCAAAGAGAGGAAGATTGCATCCATGAGAGTTGTAAAGCCCGCGTATGCAGATACAGACCCGTAGAAGTGGCTGCGGGATTGAGGGGCGTGTGCGAAGTCGCAGCACCGCCGGCCGTGGGGCGTCCGAGCCCCAGCGCCACTCCCTCCCCCTCCACTGCGCGGGCGCCATCGCCATAAATTGCCATGGACAGCCTATTTCCCTCCGGCGCAGCGACAGCCAGCCCGGCCGCCCGCCGACGCATTGCGCGCATCTGCTGCTCCCATCGCCCACCAGCCCACTCGCCCCACAGCGCCAGCCCTCCCCACGGCGGTCACCCCTTCCACAACCACCCACCCTCTGTCTCCTCCACGCGTGCCACTCTCTCCCCACGGCGCCTACCCTACTCCCCAGGCTTCCCCCACCCCTTCTCCCCCAACGCGTACAAACCAACTCCTCCCCACGGCGCCCACCCTCTCCCCACCGGCGCCCACGCCTCTTCCCCAGCAGCGCCCACCTCTACCCATGCACGTCCACCCTCTCCCCACGCGCCCACCCTCTCCCCAGCGCTCCAACCCTTAATCCCCACGGCGTCCACCCGACGGCCCGTCTCCCCTACGGCGATCCACTCTCTCCCCACGTATCCCACCCTCTCCCCACGGCGCCCAACCCTCTCCCCCGCCCCACCCTCCCCCACGCGTTCCACCCTCTCCCACCGGCGTCCACCCTATCTTCTCACCGGGCTCCGACCCTCTCCCCAACGGCGCCACCTCTCCCCATCGGCCCCACCCTCTCCCACGGCTCCACCCTCTCCCCACGGGCGTCCGCCCTCTCGCCAACAGGCTCCACCCTTCTCCCCACCTGCGTCCACTCTCTCCTCCAACGCGATACTCAACTCTCTCCCCCACGGCCTCCACACCTCTCCCAGAGCGCTTCCCACCCGCCCGGCCCCACCCTAATTTGGTCACTCAACAGCTTTCTCGTCCCAGGTTGTCATTATATCCCAAAATTTAAACGAGGCAGGGGACGGGGGCAGGGTCCAAAAAAAACTTTGATTGTAATACATTACAATTTTGAACGATTTTGTGAAATAATGTACTACATAGTATATGAGGAAGATAAAGCATTTTTTTAGGTGCCTGGAACATACCAAACGACTAGTTCTATCACGAAATTGGCACTTTTGCCAGTAGCATTGAATTTTTTCTTTATACTATCTATTTGTCTATTTTTTTGTACCTATGAAATAGAGTGGAAAGCTCTAAAACAGAAATCTAACCAAGACTGATATAAAACAATGGAGACGAAAAGTAGTGCAACAAATAAAAATGTCTTACTCTTATTTTATAGAAAAATTGAGAAATGTAGAAAAGAAGTTGGTTACTTAAAATAAGCACTTCTGAAGGAAATTTAAAAGATTATCAAAAATATAAGTAGGAGTAAATTAAATGTTTCCATACCTTTCATTAACAACGCTTTGGAAAAAGATAAACCAGAAATCTATGCAGTTTAAAATAGAAGGACTGAAGTTGAACGAGAAGAGGCCAATCAGTAAAATTATGACATTTAAGAACACAATTTAGTCGGAATTAGAGATACTGATAAGCCCTGAAAAGCAAAAACCCAACCTACAAAAGAAGATAAATAACATCAAGAAGCAATGATTGAATATTAACGTTTCATATTATTCAGCAACATAGATTCAGATATTATTTTGAACTTATTATTAATAAACAACACTGGAGAGATAATAAAAAACCAAATAACTGCCAGAAGGCAGCAAAATATGAAATCAAAACGAGTGCATACAAGGATTACAAATCCAGTGGAGGCAATGAAGTGACTATATTTCAAGTCAAGATCCAACGAGATGGTCACACTCTGCTTTGTTCGGGAATAGTTGTCAAAGCAAGGACGACAAGAGTGGTGGACGAGTTCAAGACAACGGTATGACATTTCCTTCAGTTGAGAGGGTATATTGTGCTCTTGAGTGACAAAAGGAATATATGAATAGAAGAAACTTTAAAGGACACATTATTTGTATACACTTTAGTAATTCACGAGCCTTAAGTTTAATATAAACTGTGCTTTAAAAACTTGAAAATCTTGATTTCTAAACGAGTGTCAAATTGTGAAAAGTGCAAAAATAAAATTTTAAAGAAGATAAACAATAACTCGCTAATTTTGTACATTTCATTTAAAACATATCTCCTAACTTAAATGCCTTTTGTTTTTCAAAATACTTTTTTTCAAAAGCTTTAAGGTTAAATTTGGGTTTTACTTGACTGGCTGAAACTATTTTGAAAGTAATTATTCTGCTAGTGTACTTTTTAGAGAAATTATGGTTCTACCAACTACCAGTGCATCTAAATTGCTGCAGTGAAAGGTTTTTTGACATAAATCATTAAGATATATTTAGACTTAAAATAAAAAGAAAATTAAGTAAAACGAATCGCATTGTTGCAGATTCTCATCTTTACATCTATCACAGAATAAACTGTTTGAATATACTTTTTAGAACATAAAATAATGTACCATTTGCGATTACTTTAAAAAATGGAACATTCATGCGTCCATATATATGCATTTTACAAAGGAAGTATTCCCCTTCTACGTTCACGAAAGTTTTGACACCCCAAATAAGGAAGCGTGTTTTTAAATTAATTGTGGAAGTGGGTTATGACAACTTCAGATTTTTTAATATTTCTTCTGGGATATTACTTTAAAACGTCTTGAGTTTTAGAAAATATTATTATATTTTAATTTTCTGTGTGACATCAAATCTGTGAAATACGTAAAATTATTCCAGATTTTTCTAGTCACGCAGATCTCATTCGTCTTTTTTTATATTCTTACATTCCACCGTATGTTCAGAATTTCCCAACCCAACGCACTTTGCTCACCCACTTCACAAGCTTCTAATGAATCATAAACTGAAAACAATTCTTCTACTTCATCCGTAACGTGATCTTGATTCTCCCGATGAGAACCTTCATCTTCTCCCCCGTTCCTTCTTGCTAACTCACCAGCACTCACGCCGAGAAGAAAAACTCAAAGGCCGATTTTTTCACAAGCCTTTCACATTAAGACAAAACGCGCCACATGGCCTGAAACGCCCAAATCTAATCTCCTTTAGGGGCGAAGTATATCAAAATTTTAAGCGACAAACACAGGCCACCCCTCGTTTTGACCATATATCTTGCACATATGTCAGGGGAAGGGTGGCGGGGGGGTGGCCCGCCGAGGAGGGGAGCAGGTCGCATTACGAGCAGCGTCCGCTTTCAGGGAAATATTCAGAGTTTGATCACGTGCTCTCTTCCCTGTGTTTCTTTGTGCGCGCGCAGGCTTGCTTCTTTCTCTCCGAAACCGATCTTATTATTATTGCATCTCCGCCTCTTGTGCTCCATCTCGAGGATCTACCCCGCGTCTTTTCGCCCTTCCTCTCTCCGTCTCCCTCTCTCACGCCCGCGCACGTTTATCCTCCTTAGTGCATCTCGCTCGCTCGCTCGCTCCCTCTGTCGTCGCGGAAGGCCTTTCCTCCCTCCCCTGCCCCTCCATCCACTCTCCACGTCCTCCTCGCACTCCACTCCTTCCGCCATATTTCAAACTTTTCTTTCATTTCGTGCCTTCTCATCCATTATGTTTGCTCTGCGCCCGGCTGTTATCTCATATCGCTGCCGACGCCGTCGCTGCCGCTCTGCGACGCACGGTGGAAAAATCTCTCAAAAAGCTGGACAAAAATAAAATATTAAAATATCATATTATTCAATTCAAAAACGTATTAATCTTATTATATTATTATTAATATTATTGTTATTATTATTGTTATTATTGTTATTATTGTTATTATTGTTATTATTTTTATTATTGTTATTATTATTATTGTTATTATTATTATTTTATTGTTATTAATATAATTATAATTATAATAATAATTAATATTATTGTGTGTGTGTTTAAGAAGGGCGTGATGATTTTTGGGCGTAACATACATTTTACACCTAAGATTTTATTTATTTTTGTTTAAGGTGCGAAAAGCAGTGACGTATGATGAAGAAATACTTTCTAGTAACAAGCGCAAGGTAAGTTGTCACGAGTAATTTGAATTTTTTTATAAAATTAAATTTACCTCTTTTGCGTGAAATGTGTCTATGTGGTTCCCTCAAAATTAACTGTGGTCTAGGAAATCACTCTTCTTTGATGATTAATGCATTTTGATTATTAATAAATCTCAAAATTCAAGTCATTTTTATGTAAATTATGTTTTGAATTAAAAACAAAAATACTACATTTTTGAAAACAACATTCATTATTAGAATCCATACACAATTTTCTAATTTTCTGCAAAATTTCCATTTTGGCGTATATTGTATCACACATAATGACAATGTATGATTTTCTTCCTATTTTTCTCGAAGATGACTGCCGTATGTGATGATAGCTAATATTCACGGCGCAAAAATTAGACCGAAGAATTTTGTAAACGGATTTTTTCTGAGACGGGATTTAAATAAGGATGACATTGAAATTTGTGAATATAGCGATGTCATGTTTGAAAGCGTGAATCTTCTGTTTGCGTGAATTTCGATGAAGCTCCCTTGCAATATTACGCAAACCAAACATTTTTTTTATTTCTAAACACACTACATATATACGTAGTATACAGAACACTATGTAACGCTGCAGAAACTTCATTTCACAATTTTAAAGGAAATATACGTTTTGGGATCTTTTGATAACGAAAATGTTACGTTTTGCGAAACGTCCGTTTTTTTCTTTTTCCGGTCGTCAATCCGTTCATTTATTTTTCTGTTCGTCTATCTATTTCCCTGTTCGTCCATCTATCTCTCTGTCCTAGCATCTATCTCTCTGTCCGAGCATCTATCTCTCTGTCCGAGCATCTATCTCTCTGTCCGAGCATCTATCTCTCAGTCCGTTCATCTCTCTCTGTCCGTTCATCTGTCTGTCAGTCTGTCTGTTGTAAGCAACTCTAGTGCCTAAACTTTTCTTAGGATGCTTTTCGAAAATAAATATTCCCTGGTCAATCCGGCCCGAATGGGAACACTACCATTTTCAAAACAATTCTTTAAATTACTGCGACATTTTCAAAATTTTCTCAAAAACGACTTCAAATGCTTCGACATCGGGCCAGTTCTTCGCGTTTCCCCCACTGCTCTGGTTCGGGCGCTCCCCTCGCGGCCGGCGCTGCGTCTTTGTCTCAGCGTGGCGGAGCCGCGGCGTCGCCGCCCCATCGCGTACTGGGTGACGCTCCCCCTCCCCTCCCCTCCCCACTCCTTTCTCCCCCTCCCCGCCCGCATATTGCGAGTGAGGCGCCGCCGGTCGCGATAGACAATTGACAGCGCCGCCCGCGCTCAGCCCCGGCCCGACGCACGCCCGCCGCAGCGGCGGAGGCGTCGCGACGCGTCGGCTGGCGCGGTCCGCGGGACGCAAGCCGCGCCCGCCGAGGGGAGACTGAGGGGCGAGAAGTGATTTTGCGAGAAAATTTGTGCCGTTGCGTTCTGCTTGACGGGTTTTGTTGGGCGTGTGTAGAATGGGAGTTGAGCTTGCGGGCTCTTCCCTTCAAATTTCTCGGCTTTCCATTGAATAGCAATCATATTAATATACACGTTCGTAGGCTTCCGCGGCCGGAGTCAATGCATTCTTGGCTATCCGGGATGAGCCGCGTCTCGATAGCCAAGAATGCATATTAATATACAGCCCATTAAAGAAAATAGTACGAACTCGATGTTTTGGGTTTGGTGAAAATTAACAGTAACTGTTGTTTTAAATATGATAGAAAATATACAATGAGCTTAAAATTTTCCTTTAATTGTAGCTTTCTAAATAAATTCGTAACTAATATTTGTAATAAAGGGAATTTTAATGTTTGTAATTTTTTTTCCTTTGAACTAAAACCTAATTTAGTAACAATGGGCTACAGAAATACAACAGACATAGAAAGTTAACCCCTTCTCAGCGTTGCGGCGCCCTGCGGCTGTGATTGTGGTTAAAGTAACCTTTGATGTGGAAGATTCTGGCTGAAGAGAGGAGCACTTGAGCGACCAGAACTATTGTGCGAAGTTGTTCAGTTACGCCTTACTAGCTTACGACTCGCTTGCAGGATTGCGGAATCCAGTTAATGTAAAAAGACTCTCGTTATGAATATGTGGTTGCGTTCTGCTTGACGATGGTTTTTAAAGCGTATATTTAGCTTGCGTTAAACTAATAAAATCTTTCGAACTCTTCTTTTAAAATTTGTGAGCAGGCCGCTTGAAAAGGCTTCATATAAGTATACAGTTCATATTGTTGGTTTATTTATGTTAAAATAGTAGATACTTTATAAATGACATTAGAAATTCAGATGAAAATATAGTTATTTGTAAGTGTGGCAAACATTTCGGAATAAGTGAACAAGCTTACAGATAAGATTTTTTGAAATTAATTCGTGGTCAATATTTATAGTGAAGAGCATTTAATGATGTTTCTATAATTAAAGAACACACCGTCTCCGATCCCTAGTGTCTTGTGACGAAGTTCGATGTTGGGAAACATTGGCTTGACGCTATCCTGGGCCGGATGTGGGGCGGAACTGGACGAAAGTACAACCATTTCAGCGATGCTTGAGAAAGAATACAACGTTGCGAAGAAAAATTCTATATTTCATGTCACTTGAGTGTGTTCGTCGAGTATGCGTTTGTTTAACTTTGGATTTGTGAGAACTACCACATCTATCTGTCTCTAACATTGAAGTTCTTTAAGATTATGAAATCAACATTTGATTTATTTACAGTTCTTATGTGTGAGTTCTTATCAGTTATAGCTAAGACCTGGAAGAAATTATTGAGGTTCCTCTTGTGGAATGGGTTAACTGATCCCTTAAGTGTGTTCACTGGTGCAGTTTTATCACTGCGTTACTGCATTACTTAAGTTAGCGTTGCAAGAAAAGTCCCCAAAACACGTATGAAAATTGCCATTGAAGATATAAAGAAAAGTAGGGAAGCTTCGAAACTTATGTAACTTATATTTTTTAAACGCAAAACGTAATTCTCATTCTAAGTATCTTCATATTTGTGAATGTGTTCTAGTCTTTTCTCTTTTTTGTGTAATTTCCTTGAAAAATAATATTTTGGAACCAAAATTGTAAATGTGATTGCACAAGGCAAGATAAGTAATATCTTTCTTGGACGCTTTTCTCAATATATTTGGAGCATCAATCAACATATTCACTTAAAATCTATTATATTAATCATTAATTGCACAGTAGATTGCGTTATTCAGTCAACTTGATGAAAAAGTCTTCCTTTACTTAATCAGTGATGCTTCCCAAACAAGTATTTGAGGATACTATCAGTGAATCAATGACATGTTAAATTATTTGTGCGATATTCAATAACACATTTTAAATACAAAAGCAAAATGTGTTACAGTAGTCTGCAAAAATACACCTTAACGTCAAAACGTGACATGATTTTGTGTATGACATCCGCCAGTTACCTCGCTCTCCGCTTTTAGGTGCCATATTACGTATAAAACATCATCTTCAGGCAATATCGAAGAACCTAGAGCCATGCCGGTCGCCTAAGGCGAGGACAGGCCTTTGGGCGAATGGCGGCTAGCCACACACTTGAGCGCCGGGGTGGGTGGGTTCTTGGTGATGGCGGGCGGGCTCGCCGCTCGTTACGAGCCTAGTTGGGTAAACTGCGCAAGTCTTCATCAGCTCATTAGTCTCGTTACAAGTTCTTATGCGATTGTGGGCTGTTGGTGCGGTTGGTCGCAGCTGGAGGCGACAAGCGCCCTCGGGGTTCGCGGCAGCTGCGGCTTGTTATCCGGTCTGTCGCGGGACCCCCTGCCAAGCCCCACCCCATCTCAATCCATTCCACCCGGCTCGGCCTGGGCTTTTAACGCTTCTTTTACTTCCTCGCGAGAGAAATATCGAAAACAACGTTGACGCACGCACTCTAGGAGCGATAAGGTATGGCTTTGACAGAGGGGGATGACATGATGATTTCATGATGAACGACGCATGATTAAACTTGGTACGAATAATCTATTATATGTTGTTACACTGATATAAGTTGTTTGTTCACGTCCTTATAAGGAAGCCTATGAAATATGGTATCGTCATAAGTTATCTCTGTAATTCGTTTTATGCCCTTTCGCAACCAGTGTGATTATCCAAAGATCAGAACACGCAATCTGTAAATTGCGTTTTTGTAATGGATTGCAAAGCCTGTGAGGCGATGTTTAGCCGGCGCCTTGGAAATGCGGAAGCAAATGTAGTTAAATATCCTGTATGGATTTCGTGACTTTTTACAAGCTAATTTATCCCAAAAATGCGCATGTAAACCTTTTGAAACATTACCACAACCTGCCACTTTTCTCTGTTTTCTAAAACTACATAAGTTCTACTGCCATTCCTTTATAACATTTTGATAAGTGTGGAGGTGAAAGGGTCAATGTAGCTCATCTAACATGTCAAAAGTCGACCGTCTTGTTGTGATTGGTGCCCGGGATGGGGAAGAGGTAAAGCGACTGATGCTCAACTTTTTAATGAGCGGCCGAGATTGAGGATCTTACAAGTCACTTGCAAAATGTGTTATTGATTGATTTATTGATTACCGGGCACGCCAACTACTATGGTCATTATTCCCCTTAGTCTAGTAAATGTTTATCCTAGGAAGTGGTAGTGTTCCTTCCCCACTGGATGTCGACTTAAAAATGCGCTGACTTACAAATCTGATCGCGAGGGATTCCCCCATCCCATTTAAACCATTTCGGGGCTTTCCTCAATTGGACACGCTTTATTCCCCCGAATGGTTTCGAGACATGTGTGGAAGAGTAGTGCATGTAAGTGTTGTACAACAAACGAGTGAGGATAGGGCAAGCGCGCAGTCCGTGGTCCATTTGTCCGGGCACCCTCACGCATTCGCCTAGTGGTGATCAGAGGAAGCACGGACAACTATCGATCAGAGCAGCCGGCCGCTAGATTTCCTCTCCAGACTGAATTCTACTTATCTGGCTAAAGTCGAAAATCCTGCCATCGTTAGGACTCTGACCCTAGTCAGAGTCTCTGCAGGATGAC